TGGAGAGCCTGCGGCACAGGAGCTGCCTTGGCCCTGCAGGCCTCCCCTCCCTCAGCCGGGCATGGCAGTACCTGCCCACCTCCCCCTGCAGCCCCCTGGAGCTGGCTGGAGCCAGACCTCAGCCATGGGGGGCTGGAGGAAGAGACAGAGCAGGGGTTGGATCTGCAAGAGTGGGGGGAACATGCTGCACATGTTTTAGTACTTTCCCTGGGCTGGTGTGTGCAGAGATGGGGAGTTCTGGACGGGCGGGGTGTGCATGGGAGAGAAATGCAATGTCCTTTACAGTACTGCCTTAAGTGATAATTTTTACCTTTCAGCACTGTAACATCCACACTCACTTTCATACCTCTCATGCATTGGCTTTTAATATGTACAGGATTTCAGTTCCGTTTTGTTTCCAATTTGCAGCATGCTTCTCTTGAGGAGGAGGACTGCCTGCCTCAGCAGAAAAAAACCCACACTGTTTCATCATTCCATTTTTCAAAACAAGGTACTAAGATGAAAGCGAAAAGCAAATGTCATTTGAAAGACCTGTCTCCTTTTCTCAGAATTCCTTATTCTATGGAAACAAAGACAGGCTTACAATTAGAAATACAGGAATGCTCCAGTTTCGGTATTGCTTAGAAAGCACTTGTTATTTGTTGCTGCTGGTAGCTAAAACCCCTGGTTTACACAGTAGCCCATTTCCAGGAGAAAACTCTCCACTTTGCTATGTAAGGCACAACACTGCTGATTTTTCTCACATATCTGCTGCTCTGAAACAATTCTAATATGCAACAGAGTATGTTTCACAGCAGCCTTGCAGAAGCCCTTCCCTTGGAGAAACCCTTCCTGGAAGACTTAGGTGCACCCCTCAACACCTGGGGGGGCGAGGCCCCAGCATAACAGCCCTGTAAGAGATTTGGCAACAGTGTGGTTTGCTTTAGCAGTGAGCAGCCAACCCCTGTGCCTTGCAAGGCCCCAAGGCTCAGCCGAGATTCAGGCTTCTCACTTTGCAAAAGACTCATTAGGACTTTGCATCTGAGTCCTGCAGGTTTCCAGTAGGATTTCGTCTCCTAGGGAGACGTTTTACTAAGTGCAATACTGACATACAAGCCCAGACTTGCTCTTGAAGGCAATTCAGACCCAAATCCTCAAAAGCGCAGTCCCTAGACCACCCAGCACAGCAGCAATCCCAGCCTGCAGCTTTTGGTGTCCCAGTTGCAGACTGAGGTTTTGGTAGCTGCTTTTTGTGAGGGGCTCTCAGCAATGCCCTGGCACGCACGCATTCAGGGATCCTGTGCAGGAGCAAGGCTAAATCTGCGCAGGCACACAGCAGGTCATGTAGGAGAGATCAGTGCAGTGCTCTGTAGAAACTGCGTGCTGGATTGCATGCACAGCAGCTCCTTTTGTGAATGGCAGGCAGCAAAGCACACATCCAAACTTAATCAACTCGCTGTCCTCAGTTGCAGACCATCTTCCCCAGAAGACTTCCAAAATGCTGCCTAAAAAGCCAGCTTCATGTGCATGGGCATTGTGGCTAAATAGCTTTGAAAAGGACCTGAAAATGTTACCATTTCTTTGTAGTTCAGAAAGGTACTTGGTTGATATGCCATCAATAGAAGCTACTCTTAAATGCAGGCTTGTGCCGCTGGCTTGTGCCAGGGCCTTGATGTTCCTGTAATCATTCTAAACATTGACTCTGTATTAAATATAAACAGATAATATATTCCTAATTTTATGCGCCATATTTTTGCTGTATGTTGAGGATGTGCATATTTAGCTGTAGAATAAAAGAGGATGGATGACATGTTTTAAAAAACTATAATTACATATTCCATTGATACACAGCGTGTGTTCATTTGGAGGAGAAAGGTAGGCTATGTCATTTTCCCCAGTAATTTTCTATTCTGAGTCACGTAATACTACATTTACCCAAGATATTTACTCAAACATACTTAAATTTATCTCCCCTCTCTCGGAAAAGGTGTACCAGCCATGGGCTGCAACAGTTACTCCATTAATAAACCATGTCTTTCACAGTCATATGGATTTTTCTTTTGAGCAACTTTCACCTAAGCATGCAGCATTTATTATGCTCTCCATATAGTTTGTTTCAAACATAACTAGACTTGCTTTTTATAGAAACGTGAATGTTTTATTTTGCTTGTGAGGTAAATATTGATTTCTGCAGACGGTTCAAAGAATTCTGCTATTCCAATCCTGTTAGGTGTTTATATATACATTTGATTTACCTTATCACACACCATTAGCAAGACCATCCCACAGAGAAGACAGAACAATTTAAAAATAAATTTTTGGAATGAGATGTAGAATTGTATGTGGATACAGCTTCATGTCTACTGTTATCTTCTCCTTGTTTCATATTTGAAAGAAAATGAGGCACAATAAAGACTCTTTTCTCTAAAACTTACTCAGTTCACTCTAGCATTTTATATAACATATGGTGGGACTGTAACATAAAGTGTGTACAAAGATCTGTATTAAAATAGCATTTATAAGTATTATTATCTTGCCAAAATGAAAGGAAAGCAACCTGCTGATTTCATGTTATTGAAATCGATAGCAATAATGAATGTCTACTTCTTTCCAACTTGTGAATCATATAAAGTGTGTGGGTTTGGTATGCAGTTTGCTTTGTGTGTGAAACAGTGAAGAAAAACAATGATTTAGCTAAAAGGGAACAAATCAAAAGACTGTCTGCCTTTAAATTGAATAGCAGAAAATTGGGGGTTGGTTTTTTTCCTCCTTCTCAGACTTTCCAGCTAACATTTTACACAGTAAACGTTTTTTGGCAAGGAAATTGTTGTGCTTACATCTGACATTTCACAGAGCAACAGCAACATAATAAAATTTGTTCAGTCTGAGATCGCCATTAACAAATATTTGCAAACTTGGTTCAAAATAAATGTTTTCTTATGCATAACAGTGAATAATATCTTTTGAATTTTTAAGACATCACATATGAAGATAAAATCCTCTCTTCAAAAATTATCTTAATAGTTTGGCAGTGTCCATTATGTACTGCCGTAAGTCATTATATAAAAACTGATATATTGATAGTATTATTAGCTCTTCTACATTATAACTGATTAGTCCCGTGTTTATGGCTGTCAGTTATGGTATACTCAACATGAGGACATTGACCTGCACAGGCAGGACTCTCTTCTGTCAGCTAGAAAACTAGGCTTCCTTCCCCTCCTGTCTAGATTGGGATACTGCAGTATTCTTTCCTCTGAACTCCACATGTGCAATCTTTTCCAACTCTTACACACTCAGAAACCTTCAGCAAGGATTGTTCTGGATTATGTTGTGCATCCCTTTGCCTTCCTCCCACTTCTCTTTTGCATTAATTACATCCTGCTCCTCTTCCCTTTCACAAGTGAAGAAAAATCCCTTTCACATTTTATCCCCATCATACCTATCAGCTCACGTTTACTGTCAAGATATGGACTCTTACCTTCACCTTGCCCAGAATATAATTTTACTAAGTAGCATTGATAACACACCTTCATGCTTTCTTCTGTAGCCATCCTCATATTTAGAAGCTCCATATAAAAACCATCAAACCCTTTAAAAGATCCTCTGACTGACCTCCATGACAAAAATCTCCCCTTCACCGCTGAGCTAACCACTAGTGGGTATCCATCAATGCTATCTGTCACAGAATTAAAAGGTTCAGCTATCTGCTGACATGCTTATGAGGTTGTCTAATCCTGCTCAAAGCAAGCCTACATGACAATGAATGAAGTTCTTTGAGTTGCTTCTGTGGACTGCATTTTCCACCTTTCTAATCACTATGAAATTGTACTGTAGTAAACATTTTTTTTTAAATGTGAGGAAAAGTGCTGTATAGAAACAGTTCAATATGATTAGATCATAACTACCTTAAGATTTGAAATGGCTACAATGTGTTTGGATTACTAAATTTTTAAAACTGGTTCCAGTTACGTTGTTTAAATTCATATAAACAAATTCATCTTTTCAATTCTCTTTCAGTGTCAATTTCTTTACTTTAAAATGTTGTCTTCAGTAATTGAAACAGGAATTCTGCTGTGGTGGATTTTTTTGTTACACAACAACTGGAGCACAATTAGATGTTGATTTTCATCTGCTGTATCAAAAAGGTGAAACTCTATGCTATGATCAGAGAAAACTGGATGGAGTTCATACATAAGTTTAAATCTTAAAAATTTATAAAAGTTATATAAAGCACTTCTGGTTTCTTTGACAAACACAACTAAAATAAAGCTTGAGTACTTAAAATTGTAGATCTTTTTTATATGTAACAGGAAAACTTAGTTCTTAAATCTTAACAGTAGAGACTTTATTACTATGACTGCTGTTTGTTTATTGTAAGAAGATCTTTATTTAAGAGAAAAGCAATAGTGATTAAACTGGAAAGTCTGTGATCTGGTTATTTCACGAGTACCAGAAGGGCAGGGTGGACCAGGAGAGAAATCAACACCAGCAAGGAAACAAAACACGTAACAGTTCTTA